AGAAAGCTTTGGAAGACATACTTTGGATTTTATGTAAGCATAGTATTATCTTCTATTCAATAGGCCAGGGGTCGGCAAACTGCGGCTCTGGAGCCCCATGTGGCTCTTTCCTCCCTCTGCTGCGGCTCCGTCACCAGTCGCTGCCACAATTTTGAGAGGAGCTTCCGGTGGGGGGGGGGGGGGAGAAGCACAGTGCACCAGGAGAAGACTCTATGGCAAGGGGAGGGTTTTCCAGTTGTCTCCACAATTGATAGGGATTGCGGTTATGACAGGTAGAGGAAAACGTACGCCGTGCTAAGAGGAGACTCTATGGTGTGGGGGAACTGAACTTCCAGTCAGCTCCAGAATTGAACAGGGGGCTTCCGGTTAGGACCTTTGTGGCTCCCGGTGTTTTCTGAGGAAACGGGTCCAAATGGCTCTTTGAGTGTTTACGTTTGCCGACCTCTGGACTAGAAGACCTCCAAGGTCCCTTTCAGCTCTATGATTCTATGTTCTAATGCTTCCAACTCATGAGTGTCTTTTTTCTCTCTCTCTCCCCACCTTCTCTGTTTCTTAAATAGGAGAAAGCTCACCATACTGCTCAGCAGAACATCTTGGATGAGATTGGTGAGTCCTTGTTGGCATCCCAAATTTCATGGGTCATCGAAGAATCATTGAGTGTATTTGTATGTCTTGGCGCCCTCCTATTTGTGGACTATAATACCATTCTCCTCAGCCACTTCTGGCTAGGAAGGTGGGACTCAAAATCCAATACAACGCGAGAAGTCACTGGAATTGGGGGAAAGAGTGATGTTTGTGCTATTTTCCCCAGTTTTCCAGATGTGTGGGAGTTCAACTGCATAACCAATGTTGGATTATGTTATGGGGAAGCCATCGCATCTGGAAACTGCATCTGGTTGAGAAAACAAAATGTATTTAGCATATTTACCGGAGTATCACACACTTTTTCTCTCCCTCAGAGGGTGAAAATTTGGGTGCATCTTATACACCAAATGTAGTCAAAAACGCAAGACACAGAGAAGGCGATGGTCTGTGTCAATCCCTGCAGCCTGGAACAGCTGATTGGGGGTATTCCAGGAGGCTGATCCATCCGCCAATCAGCTGCTTGTGCTGAATCAGGCTGCAATAATGTGCTAAAGCTGACCTGGCTGTTTGCTATTTGCTGCAAGGAGGTGTCAGAGTTTGCAGCAGCAATCACATCCAGAAAGCACACACAAGTAACTGATTCAGCAGGATTCAATACCTTCTCTTTATATATAATATAACACATTAAGTATATACAATACCAAAAGCAGGTTTTCCAACATGGTAGTTCAGCAGAGGAGTTTCACTTTCAGTTTTAGTTTTAGATATCAGCACAGCATGCAGCTTTAGTACAAAAGAAGCCACGCCCAGGCTTCTTGCTGTCTCCTTCCTTGTTGCCCACACAGCAATGTTTCCAAACAGCCCTCAACTCTCTCACACACTGACAGGATGCTAGCCAGACGTATACCATGGATGCTGGTAGGCAGAGGCAGAATATTTCTTTTCTTATTTTCCTCCCCAAAAACTAAGGTCTGTCTTATACTCCAGAGCATCTTATACTCTGAAAAATACAGTATGTATTAAATGAATCTATCCTGGATTCAGGAGTGGGTTATAGTGAAACAAGGTGCATTTGTGAGACTCAGCAAACCTTTAAACACACAGCAAGCATGCACAAGTTGAGCTACTTTCTTATTACGATTTCCTGGATGCCCCAATTCTCCTTATAAATGATTTACAGGATTAACCAGAATTTAAATCTACCTACTAATACATTTGCTCATGCTGATCTGGTGTAAATAACCAGTGATATTTTGTCCCCTCCTTAATCTCAAGGCCATTCTCATCAGTGACCTCGGTTAACCGCCCACTGGATCCATCAATTTTGAGAAGGATGTTAATCAGCAACATGTTTGTTCCACAATCACTAATTTTTCATTCTGATTGAACTTTTGTCCGCCACTTCCTGGTTTTTCTTCACATGAAAAAAAAAGACCACTTGTTTTTAAAAATGGTGTAAACTTTCCCATCATTGTTATGGACATGGTTTCTTGAGTGTGCCTCATAATAGAAGGAATGCAGTATTCATTTGAGTAATATAATGAAAAGAATTTAAAAAGAGGTCTTTCTATTATGTTATTCTAATAAATAATGAACAGGCTATATATGTTATTCCAATATATGTGAACAGACTATAGATTAAAAAAAATTGAACTAGAATAACACGGTGTAGTCCAGAGGTGGTATTTAGCAGGTTTTGGCCAGTTCTGGAGAACCGGTAGCAGAAATTTTGAGTAGATTGGAGAACCGGCAAATACCACCTCTGACTGGCCCAAAGCCACCCAGCTGGCTTTCGTGACTAAGGCAGGACTAGAACTCTCCGTCTCATGGTGATTGGCCCAAAGCCACCCAGCCGGCTTTCGTGACTAAGGCAGGACTAGAACTCTCCATCTCCTGGTGATTGGCCCAAAGCCACCCAGCCGGCTTTCGTGACTAAGGCAGGACTAGAACTCACCATCTCCTGGTGATTGGCCCAAAGTCACCCAGCCGGCTTTCGTGACTAAGGCAGGACTAGAACTCACCATCTCCTGGTGATTGGCCCAAAGCCACCCAGCCGGCTTTCGTGACTAAGGCAGGACTAGAACTCACCNTCTTCCTTCTCATTAGGTGGCCAAAGCCTTTGAGTTTCCTCTTCAGGATCTGGCCTTCTAAAAGAGCAGCCAGGGTTGACCTCCTCTAGGACTGACCGGTTGGATGGCCTTGCCGTACAAGGGACTTGCAGGAGTCTTCTCCAGCACCAGAGTTCAAAGGCCTCCTTTCTTTGGCGCTCAGCCTTCCTTATGGTCCAACCGTCACAGCCATCCTTTGCAACTGGGAAAACCACAGCCTTGACTAGGCACACTTTTGATTGGCAGGGTGATGTCTCTGCTTTTTAGTCAGCTGTCTAGATTTGCCATCACTTTCCTCCCTAGGAGCAAGCCCCTTTTAATTCCTTGGCTGCCATCCCCATCTGCGGTGATCTTGGAGCCCAGGAAAATAAAACCCATCACTCCCTCCCTTTCTTCTCCATCTATCTGCCAGGAATTGAGACGGCCGGATGCCATGATCTTAGTTTTCTCAATGTTGCGTTTCAAGCCAACTTTTGCACCCGCCTCAAGAGCCTCTTTAGTTCCTCTCTGCTTTCTGCTATTAGGGACATTGTGATTTCTCAAGGTTTTATTCTCCGGGGAGGAGAACAAGGCTCAATCAGAGGTCAAGAACAAACGGTAAGGAGCAGGGCAGGCTGCTTGACATAAAACCTCGGCACAACTATGGTTCCTACTCAGAAGGAAAAGCCGTGGAGTTTGGAACACTCCGCATCTCGAGCTGCCTCCCTTAAAGACAGAGCGATAACAGATAATGCTCCTGTTTCCAAAGCAGAAGGAAATGTTAGCAAACATCTCCTCCTTTCATTATGCAAACATCTCCCTGCGAGGACGCTGAAGGAGGACGGAGAGCTGGAGCAAGGAAAAACCCCTTTGCTAGTGATCTGCAACATTTTTGTTTCCTGCCTCTCTCCATCCCTCCCTCCCTCCCCTGGGCAGGCAATCCCCAAAACGACAAAAGAGAGCTTCTTGTTCCTTGACTTCGTAGCAGAAGGATGGGACACGGCCGGAGAATCTGCGAGAGTGACGCAGCGGGCAAGAATGGCCAAATCTTTGTGACCTTGCGGTGATAAGTGAAGCTTCAAAGCGCTCCCTTCGAAATTTGAAAGAACACAATAACAGAAGCCAAATTGTTGTTGTTTTGTTTGTTTCTGAGGCCAAAGAAACAAACTTTGGGGGAACCAAGAGAGAGAGAGAGATTGCAACATGCTAGGATGATAGGCAAGCTAGTCTTAATCTAAAACCCAGTAAAATGATAAGCTTTCGCCAGTTCGACCTTAGAGCTGTTATCCTGTTTTCTGATGCAAACACCTGAATCGTTTACTTTGCTTCCCTGTTTGCTGTTCTCTTACCTTATCGTCCTCTTCTGGGTCCCTTCTTTTTCTATCTTTCTGTCCTTGATGCCGTGTTTTTTTTTCGCTCTCCCCCCCGTGATATCTCGCCAGGCAAAGTTGTCATCTGTTTGCCCGTAGCTTGACAAAGCAAAGAGAAGGCATCTGATAACTTTTGATTTTTTCCATCCTTCCTTTGTGCCTTGAGACCGAGTTGTTTGCAGAGAGGAGGCAAGGCATTCTGAGATCACACACCCCTCCTACAGAGAGAGAGAGAGAGAGAAGGAGGGAGAGAGGGAGAGAGAGAAAGAAAGAAAGAGGCAGAATGAGGCAGACAAAGAGAGAAAGAGAGAGACAGAAAGAGAAAGAGAGAGACAGAGGGAGATGGAGAGAGAAAGAGAAACACACAGAGAGAAAGAAAGGGAGAGTGTGTGTCACAAGTGGCAGGATCATATATCTCGGTCCTCAAGCCTTCAGAGATGTAAGATGAATGGCCGTGAAAACAGGACCAGATTTGGCCCTTTTCTGAAGCTGTCAGGAATGCAATGTCTGCTCCTTGCTGAGGCTTTCTTCCAAAGTTTATATACGCCACCTGTCGCAGGTATATAACAGAATAGCAGTAAGGGACCTTGTAGGTCATCTAGTCCAACCCCCTGCTCAAGCAGGAGACCCTATACAATTTCTGACAAGCAGCTTTTCCTCAAAGCCTCCAATGATGAAGCACGCACAACTTCCGAAGGCAACTTCTGTTCCATGGGTTGATTGTTCTCACTGTCAGGAAATTTCTCCTTATTTCTAGTTTGAATCACTCCTTGATTGGTTTCCATCCATTGTTCCTTGTCTGGCCTTTGGGTGCTTTGGAGAATAGCTTGACCCTTTCCTCTCTGGGGCAGCCCCTCAAATATTAGAAGNGCTGGCTCCTATTTAAATGGTTGTCCACTAGGACTCCAAGATCCCTCTCACAGTTACTACTATGTTCCACCACATTGGGACAAAAAAGCCTCTTTGCATTAGTTAGTGGTAAACTCCTCCATACTTTTCTTGCTTCAGCTCATGGAGTGAATTTTGGGCCATCAAGTTTCCACAAAGTGCCTCGAACCTCCTCCTTCGGAGCTTCCCAGGTTCCAGCCTCCAAGTCTTTGGGCCTGTTCTTGGAAGCATCTTTCCGAGGAAAGCCGAATGAAACGAAACAGAGGACGGGAAAGGTTTGCCTCGGTTCCAGGTGACGGCGGATCAAAGAAGAAGAAGGAAAAAAAACCCGCTCGAAACCTTTACGAGCTCTCTCTGAGATGGAAATGCCCTGACATCACTCGTCAGCTGCAGCAGCCCTTGGTGCGTGGGTGGGTGGAGTGCACATCTGCTTTTTTTCCAAACAGTTAATTTTACAGCACTATTAAACGAGGGCCTCTTTGGTTGCTCTCCGGGTCAACCTTCCCTCCGAGGGTAGGTGGCCTTTGGTGCAGACGGGCTGCCAATTTTCACACGGCCTCCCTCCCCTCCGAGCACAGTCATTTTGCAACTTCATGACTTGGGGAATGGAGGGGGGAATATCAGCTGCTGGTCTCTAGCAAAGCTGAGCAGCGGGTGAATAAGGGGGGCGGGAGAAGCCTGGGTGAATTAGGCAAGTTGTTGCAGCAGCTGAGGTCAAACTTTGTTCCCTCCCCAAGTTTCAGGTTCAGTGCCTGGCTGCCTACAACATTTGCAACTACATAAGCTAAATAGCAATAACCCTTAGGCTTATATACTGTACCACTTCACAGTGCTTTTACAGCCCTCTCTAAGCAGTTGACAGAGTCAAACATATTGCCCCCAACGATCGGGGTCCCCATTTTATCCACCTCGGAAGGACGGAAGGCTGAGCCAACCTTGAGCTGGTCAGGATCGAACTGCGGGCAGTGAGCAGTGAGTTAGGCTGCAATACTGCATTTTAGCCACTGTGCCACCACAGCTCAAGGGCCAGCGATGGGATTCACATAACAAGCTAGACGTGACTAGTGTTAATCTTTTCTTGTTGTTAGGTGCAAAATCGTGTCCAATCCATCACGATCCCNCAGTGGTGAGATTCAAAAAATGTACTGCCGGTTCTGTGGGCATGGCTTGGTGGGTGTGGTATGGCTTGGTGGGCGTGGCTCGGTGGGCGTGGTGTGGATTGGTGGGCATGGCTTGGTGGGCATGGCCAGGGAAGGGTACTGCAAAATCCACATTCTCTCCCATTCACCTGGGACTCGGGAGGCAGAGAATAGATGGGGGCGTGGCCATCCAGAGGTAGCATTTGCCGGTTCGCCGAACTACTCAAAATTTCCGCTACCGGTTCTCCAGAACTGGTCAGAACCTGCTGAATCCCACCTCTGCATCTGCCTAAGTGACGTTTCCTTGCTGTTCATCTCGATCAGGGATGGCAAACCTTTTAGGCACCGAGTGCCAAAAAAGTTATCAAGGCTGCACTCTAGAAAAGCAAGACTTCCGTGTTCTAGCGGCCATGCGCGTTCAACCATCAGCTGGCTGGTGCGCATGCGCAGCCCAGTTTTCATCACTGCTGCAGGCATGAAGGGATTGCACTCTGGAAAAGCCGAATTTCTACTTGCATTTTTTATGTGCTTTCGAACTGCTAGTTTGGCAGAAGCTGGGAGGAGTAACGGGAGCTCACTCCATTACGCGGCGGTAGGGATTCGAACCGCCGAACTGCTGACCTTTCTGATCGACAAGCTCAGCGTCTTAGCCACTGAACCTTTACTTTTACCACAGTGATGAAATTCAATTTTTTTACTACCTGTTCTGTGGGCGTGGCTTGGTGGGCGTAGTGTGGCTTGGTGGGCGTGGCTTGGTGGGCATGGCAGGGGAAGGTTACTGCAAAATCCCCATTCCCTCCCCACTCTGGGGCCAGCCAGAGGTGGCATTTGCCGGTTCTCCGAACTACTCAAAATTTCCGCTACTGGTTCTCCAGAAGCTGTCAGAACCTGCTGGATTTCACTCCTGTTTTACCATCATTGGAGGTCTTCAAGAAAAGGTTGGAGAACGCTTTGTCTGAAATGTCAGAGGGTCTCCTGAAGATTGGACTGCTACGACCTCCAAGGCCCCTCCCAAGCTCATGTTTTTGAAGAAAAGCAATACAATAATACAATAGCAGAGTTGGAAGGGACCTTGGAGGTCTTCTAGTCNGGGCGGCCGAATGCGGGCTGGAGGAGCGCTCTCGCCGAGCAAGGCGGGCCACCCGGCGCCAACAGCACCACCAGCAGCGGCAGCAAGCGCTCCTCTGGCGCTCCCCCGCGCCGGGCACCTGCGCCACCAGGTTAGCCCGGGGTAGGCGCTCTTCTTCCACTTCGGCGGCCGGAGCCTTGGAAGCGCCGCGCGTCCCCCGGCGCAGGAGGCGAGCGCCGGACGAGGGCCCGGGGACAAACGAGGGTCGCCGGCTCCTGGCCCCGCCGAGCAGGGCGTTCTATTTCCGCGGCCAGGGCGACCAGCTGCGCTTGAAGGCGGAGCTCGAGATACCCCGGGATGCCTTCACCGTCCAAGTGTGGCTGCGCCCCGAAGGGGGGCAGAAGGCGCCGGCTGTGATCGCAGGTAAGGAGGGGAAAACATGGGGGGCGGGGGGGCGGGGGAGACCCGCTTGGCCCTGCCCGAAGTTTGGCGGGCGCACTGTTGGGGATGGCAGGAGAGACGCACGGGCTAAGGGGGTCTTTTTTTGACACTGCCCGAAGTTTGTGGGGCGCACGAGGCGTGTGAGGGGAGGGGGCTTTGGCACTGCCCGAAGTTGGCGGGCCACGGTTGGGGATGGCAGGGGAGGCGCACGGGCGAGGGGGTCCTTTTGGCACTACCCGAAGTTTCGCGGGCGCACATTTAGGGATGACAGGGGAAGCGTGTAAGGGGAGGGGGCTTTGGCACTACCCGTAGTTTCGCGGGCGCCCTGTTGCGGATGACAGGGGAGACGTGTGAGAGGAGGGTTTTTTTTTTGGAGCTGTCCGAAGTTTGGCGGGCGCCCGGTTGGGGATGGCGTCTGCGCCCGGGCGCTTCTCGGTTGGGGATGGTGGCCCCTTTACAGTCGCCGAAGAGGCGCGCGCGCGCTGGGCTTGGCGGGCTGGGCTGCTGGGGGTCTCGGCGTGGGAAGGGGAGGCGGGTGGGCATAGTCGGGGCGTTCTCCAGCGGCAGCGGCGACAACAACAGAGCCACGTGCTGTTGTGTCTCGATTTACACACGCCCTTGCTCGTCTGGGTGATGGTGGTGGTTGTTTTTTTGTGAATGGGCTGGAGAGACCCTCGCGAACGGAGAAGCGCGGGCTCTTCCACCACGCGGGGAGTGGGGCTTGCCGAGCCGATGGGTTTGTCTGTCTAGCTCCCTTTCCTAGTGGTCGTTGCCCCTCCGATGCTCCTCGCCTTTGCGATTCCGGGGGGTCGCAAGCTTTGAGCCTGCAGCCGGGGAAGGAGCGAGGTTAGGAAGCGCGCCCGAACGGGGGGCGCGGGGGGAGATATCCAAATATCCAACCTGGAAGGGATGGAGCTGCTCCCGGACGAGGGACGGGGAGGAAAAGAAGCGGAGGGGGACCCCCCCCACCCCGCTTTCGCCTCCATGCAGGGGCAGCTCGGCGACTCCGGCGTCCATCCTTGGGGACCCCCGTTTCCAAGGACACGAAGCGGCCTCGGGGCACGTCTGCATGCGCCCCAACGGGAGTCAGCGCCGGAGAACCGCGGGAGCTTGGCTCTTGCATCCAATGACGCACAAGATCGCGCGCGCCTCTTTCCCGGGCGGGGAGAGGGAAGAGAAGAGAAGAAAGAAAAAAACACCCTCGGGTTTTTTTTTCACCCGCGGCCTTATTAGCATCAAATTAAGTTTGAGAGAGCCGCCCTTCCCCTCCCCTCCCCGTGAATTCCTAAACTGGGGACCTTAAAAAAGCGAGAATATCGTGGAAAGTAGCTTATTTTTAAAAAATTGTCATTGTTGTCCTTGGCTTAGGTGAAGCCTGCTGGGGAAGGAGAGGGGAGGGTGATATGTGGAGGGGGGGGGGAAACACACGGACGGACTCTCCCCCTTGGAGATTTGGCTTGCAGTGCCCCGGGGGTGAAATTCAGCACGTTCTGACAGGTTTTGGCGAACCGGTAGGGGAAATTTTGAGTAGTTTGGAGAACCTGTGAATGCCATCTCTGGCTGGCCCCAGAGTGGGGAGGGAATGGGGATTTTGCAGTATCCTTCCCCTGCCACGCCCACCAAGGCACGCCCACAGAACCGGTAGTAAAAAAATTCACCACTGGGGTGCCCCCCCCAACCCCCAGTTCCGCTTGGCAAGATCCAGCGATATGCAGAAATCTTTAGCTGCAGCCCCAGGTTGCTTTCCTGTGTATTTCTGTGTCTTTCTCTCTCTCTCTCTCTCTCTCTCTCTCTCTCTCTGTGTGTGTGGCTTTTGTCAAACAGCTTGGCAATTGTGGTTAACCTTCCCAAGGGGAACTTTTAACGGTGTGTGTTTACTCGGGAGTCGATCCAGATTGCGCCCCCTCCCCCCTAAGAAACCCTTGCTTGGTATCCTAACCTCAAATCAACCAAGTCATTACCGCGGGTGGGTGGGTGAGTGGGTTACAATCCCCCCACCAATAACTGTNGAGAGTCACAAACCAATGAAGTGAACTAATGGCCTCCTGCAAACTCCACTCCCCTTTCGCTCCTCTTTTGTTTCCTCTGGGAGGAGCCATTCACCATCCACCTGTGGCTTTACTCCCAAGTCGACCCCTGTTCTTTAGCTGTTCCCTTCCTCTGGCCACATTGCACATGTGCATACTGGGAACAGGCTCCAGCTGTTCCTCTGCCCCACTGATGTCTGACTCTGAAGGCAGCTGATAACTGGCATACGGCTCTGCCCCCCCCAAACCATAAATCAAGATGGTGCCACCACCGATAGAACCGATTCAGAGGTGTGGCAGGCCAAGTTACTACCTACTCATCCGAACCAGACCGAACTGGTAGGAACCTACCTCTGCCCCAAATGTGGGGATTCTGTGCAGCATCCTATAGTATCTTCTGAGCCCCAGGCTCTGCTTTCCATTATCCTGGAGTTTGAAGGAAGGGCGGGCCGAAAGGGGAACTGTGTTTCAGCCGAAGAGAGGGAGCTGAAAGAAAACAGTGTGAGATTTACAACTGTTGCTGGGGGAAACCGAGCCAGCCTGCCTGCGCCGGGGATAGATCCTTTGTCAGCTGGGGTGGGGGGGCGAGACCTTTGCGATGTTGTGGACGATTATTTCAATTGGGCGTGTTGCACACTCCCAGCCACTGTCAGTGGGGAGTCCTTCTCCGGAGGACCTCGCTGGCTTGCGTTCTTATATTCCCACCAGCCTGGTTTAAAAAATCAGGTTGAGTGTACATGTTTCCCTCGTGTTCCTGGCTTGGCAGGTGAAATTTGGTTTCCCACCGCAGGAAGCCCCCTCTGCTTCGGCATGAAAAGGGAATCGAATTGGGCTTGCTCCTCGCCTGTTTTCAATTGCAGGGCGGAGAGGTGGTCTCACTCCCCTGGCTCATAAACAGATCCTCCTCTCCTCCTCCTCCAAGTTGAAAAAGGGGAAGAGGCAGGTTTTGGGGGATTTGGAGCCCCTCGTATATCTTCTTGCTGGCCGAAAAGCAGGAGTCCTGCAAGATTTTAAGCTTATCCTTCTGCTTATAGGAATATATCCTATCCACAGAAGCATCTCTCTGGTGGGAATCTGGTCTCTTTCTGACTGCCACCCATGTGGAAAATGAATTTTGTGCAGGATCTTTCTTTTAAAAAATGCTTCTACCCCTAACCCGTGAATATAGGCCCTTTTCTTTCTTTCTTTCTTTCTTTCTTTCTTTCTTTCTTTCTTTCTTTCTTTCTTTCTTTCTTTCTTATTTTCTTTCTTTTTCTTTCTTTCTTTCTTTCTTTCTTNGAGGAGGAGGAAGAGGAGGAGGAAGGAGAAGAGGAGGAAGGAGGAAGAGGAGGAAATGGCTTATTCAAGGTCATTACCTTCAGGCCCCTCATCACGCTATACTTGCATTGAGAGGTGGATGATGGGAGTGGTGGTCACCAGTTGCATTTTTTTTCCTGAGGGAGGGGTTTGCTGCTTTGAAGTGACAAATGAGCAAAAAATATGGTCACAATGGAAGTTGTTTCCCTCTCTTCCTTTCCCTCCCTCCCTCCCTCCCTCCCTCCTATTAATTAATTAATTTGTATTGGCCACCCAACTCCTCTGAAATCTAGTTGCTAAAGCCTAAGAATAATTACTTCATAATTAACGTTTCTTGGTTAGCCAACAAGTACAGTGAAGTCTAGCTGCTCTAACCTAGGAATAATTTAATTAATTAATTAATTAATTAATATTTATTGGCCACCCAAACCCAGGGGAGTCTAGTCGCTAAAGTCTGAGAGTAATTAATTAATGAATATTTGTTGGCTAACCAACAAATTTAGTGGAGTCTAGCTTGTAGAGTTTAGGATTAACTAATCAATCAATCAATTAATCAATTAATATTTATTGGCCACCCAACCCCAGGGGGAGTCTGGTTGCTAAAGTCTTAAGAGTCATTACCGATTGATTGATCAATTAATCAATTAATATACATCGGCCACCCAATGTGGTCATGTGACTGGTGGGCATGGCCAACTTTGTTTTTAAAAAATGCTTTTTTTAAAAGCATTTTTTTTCCTGCCGGTTCGGGTGAATAGACAGGAAAAAAAAAAGCTTTAAAAAGGGATGGGGGAGCTGCTGCAATCGCGAAGCTTACAGCTGAGATGCACGATCCTTAGAAGCAATTTTTTTACTACCGGTTCGCAGTAGTTCCCCCCTCTGTGAACTACAAGATCCCGTCTTCCTTTCTCGGCTGATCCCCAGGCGAGTCGCTGGTCCCCATCTTCTCCCAACTTCTGGCTCTTATGGGTCCCTGGGCTGTGCCTCCTACTCGGCTCCTGGCCTTTGCTCCCCCCACCCCTCTCTACCCCACCATCGAAAGTTGAGAGGCGTGGAAGGTCTCTCTTCTCTCCCTGTTCTCGCAGGGCGGGAGAAAAATTGATGCCGAGCCAGCTTTGGCTGGATGTAGAAACGTTTGGGCTTCTGCCAAAGAGCGAGGCTACCCTTCGTCAAGGGGGAGGCTCTCCCCACCACCCCGCTCCCTTCTCATCCAGATCCGCGGCTGCCTGCCAATCCAGAATCCCGTTGCCTTTCCCAAGAGGTTGCTGAGCCCACAGCTTGCTCAAAGCGGGTGGCACGGGTCTACTTGGGATCGAACTCAGGGGGAGAGAGAGAGAGAGGGAGAGNTAAATCCTCCCTTGAAAGACTTTGCTGGATGTGAATTAAAGGAATTCACAGTCAATTAAGGAGTTTGCTTCCTGCTCTTGGGAAGCCTGGGTCAGAACAGAACTGACCTGGAGCTCAAGAGACATTTAATGACAGTTATGACAATTAATCAGTGGAATAACTTGCCTCCAGAAGTTGTGGGTGCTCCAACCCTGGAGATTTGTCAAAAGAGATAGGATAACCATTTGTCTGAAATGGACTAGAAGTCCTCCAAGGTCCCTTCCAACTTTGTTCAACAGTAGCACAGTTGTGTTTTCTTGCAAGTGGGAGGAT